AAAGCCTGGGGTTTGCAGTGAGGTCGTCGCTGCCTGTGAAATTCTGAAAAAACTAAAGAAAGAGAGGCAGGGTTCACTCACGGGTGGGCCCGGGGCTTGACCGCGCTCTATGGGAGAGAGAGAGAGAGAGAGATTTTAGGGGAACGGTGCCAGCCAGTGATGATAGTTCAAGACTGTGGTCGTGTTGCTATTCCAGTTGTACTTGTTTACCTGCTTGCAGTGACGTCCAGTGCCACTCGACTTGCAAACATAGCAATACACTGCGAGTGGGGGACCAGAGCTGGTACCATCCTCAGGATGAGGCAGGGGGTCATTAGGTAGTGTTAGGGGTGGGGGTACCAGAGTTGTGCTACCGCTGTGCCGCATCCAGTGCAAGTGTCACACAGAGACTGAGACTCACAGTGCGCGCTTGCGTGCGGGGGGGCGTGTCTGCGCTTCCTTTGTCTGTGTGGAAGAAGAGAGAGAGAGAGAGAGAGAGAGAGAGAGAGTCGTTGCCTTGGTGGTGTTTTGCTGTCTCTCTCCAATCCCCCTTCCACAACGGACGGGGGCGCACGCGCGGGCTAGGGGGGAACCCCTGGTCCACAGCCCTGGCGAAAGAAAGAAAGAGAGAGAGAGAGAGAGATAGATAGATAGATAGATAGATAGATAGACGAATGCAGGTCACGGCTCACAGCGCGTTCAGAATAAAGCCGGAAACATACATGCAAACATCACAATAACGCAGGGAATCGGCAGAGCAGACACCCCGCCGCAAGCGCAAAGCGGCTTCGCGTCGGCGTTGGCATAGGCGCTGCACTGCGGGGTGGCAGACTGGGTCAAAGAACTCTACGCGGATGGCCATCCCCCGTGGGTCAGTTCGAAGAGCAGCTTGTCCCTTGTCGATAGGAGCATGGCTTTGCGTTTAAAAGGACTGAGGCGGCGGTGCTGTCTCCACAATGAGGAGCCAGTGGCTGGGGGTCATTGGCGAGAGGATGTCGCTAAGCATAATGGGAAAGGGTGGGGCGGTTTCAACAGTGCCGTGCTGGCTTTCGATGTCTGTGCGGGGGACCAAACCGATCTGCGAGATGTTGACCCCGGTGTCGGCGACTACTGTATTTGTACGTGCCAGCAGCCATTGGTGAGTTGTGTCATGTCAGCGTGCGCTGACATGGGCACCTTTGGTGGCAGGTCCCCTCCATCAATTAGATCGCCATCCACATGGTCCCATGTGTGCCGTTCATCGTCATGTCCGGCTGGACGTGGTTTGTGTGGCTGGGGTGCCCCCCGCCGATGCTGGTTTGCGTCAGCTCGATGACGAGGCTCAACCGTGGTTGGGTGGTGCGCTGAGGCCGCGCCTCCGCTGCCGCTGCTGGGCAGGGAGTGGTCGTGCTGCGGTTGCTTGGTCTGCTGTGCCGGCTGCGCTGGTCTGCGGCGGGTCGTTTCTCGGCAGGAGGTGTTTGTTCAGCAGTGCAGCGAAGCGCTCCTTGGCATCGGTGTCGGTTTTGAACCCCACCATTGTTGGTAGAGCTGGATCGGGCTGGTGGCGGGGGTAGCAGGGAGTTGGGGCTGGTAAAGAATTCCCCAGCCGGGGCCCGTGAGCACCAGCAACAGCTGCAGCAACAAGCGCAAAAACAACACCTGGACCGCGTTCCCGAAGGGGACGAGGCAGACACGACTGACCCAGCTAGCTACCGGTGAGCTACTATCCAAAGCCACAACAGCGGCCTACCCCATCACAAGAACACGCAGAGACACAAGCAGACCCACCACTGTGAGCCACGCCCGCAGCAGCAGCAGCAGCAGCAGCGGTGACACCACACCGCAACCCCCACCAATACATTGGGGGACGGAAGATTCTAAGAACACTACACTCACTACACCGCAGTCAGCCGGACCGCCTCCCGCCACGGCAGCCACCAACACTGCACTCTTGCTGCACGCCTGTGGGATGGTCGTAACCTCGAGGAAGCAAGTAAATGTGAGCGGCCGCAAGACCCACACACACACACACACACACACACACACACTCGGACCAACGCCAACACCAGATCATGATCGTGATCAGACCAACCCAATGCAAACAGGCAAGCCCGGATCGCCCAACAAGCAGCCCAGGCAGACTGCGACAGCCGCACCAGCCACACAGCATCGACCCAGCCACAGACCCCTTCACCACACCAGCAAGCTCCCTCCAGCTTGCCAGGTCACCCACCTCAGAGCCTGCACTCGTATCTCGACGAAGTGTTGCATTACAGCTTGGCAAACACACTTCTGACTCAGAGCAGACGGCAGACAGCCATGTAGGGCTGCGGGGGTTTCAGTTTGTCAACATACGCATTGTCAACGTACGCGCCCACACATGAGTCACGGCCGTTGCTTAGAGATGAGACGTAAACCATGCGCAGGTGTGCAGCTGCAGGAGGCAATGCACATGTTTGTGTGCGGTGTCATATGTTGCCTGCATGTCTGCCATCCTATCTATCTATCTGTCTATCTAGCTATTTATCTCTCTCTATCCATCTATCGATCCATCACGCTCTCTCTCCCTGCTTTTTCCGTTTGTCGCCGTTTGCGTCAATGTGTGCGAATCTTCGTCCCTTTCGCCCAGTGCCAAAGCGGAACAGGCCTGCCTCGACGGGGCAGACTTGCTGGAAGCTTGGGCCAGGCCGGTGAGATCGGTCAGATTTCAGCTAGGCTGAGGGTCCACAGATCTCCACAGCCTGCTATACTTCCCACCAGCGTTGCAGTCTTCCCATTCATTGTCGAGCTTTTGTACTGCTAGTCTCGACACTGAATGATGTGATGGCCTTGGCAATGGTTCTTGGAGCCTACTGCAGCTAAGCAGCCAGCAGCATTGGGTTGTATCTCCATCAGTCGATCCTCGCTTAGTGTCAGGGCAAAGTTTCAGCAATCAAGGACACTACATGTTGTAGCAGGCCGGCTGTCCATTCTGTGTTGCTGGAGGAGTGCTGACTTCAGTCGGTCTTCCTTCGTGCGGGCTCGGCTGGTCAAAACCGATCTTGGTCAAAGCGTCCTGCTGCAGGCTGACCTAGAAGGTACCGTCTGATCTGCACTCTTTGCAAACTCTGTGCTGCTACCACATCTTAAATATCTGAGAGCGCTTCCAAGCAGGTGCTGATTTGTTGCTCACGAATCTGGAGGGTTCAAACATGGAAGAGGTCTCACTGCGTCGCTTTGCCAGCAAGTGCCAGCCACCAGAACGTCTAGACTTGTGAGCGCACACTTTATTGAGGCGATGCCTGCAGTGTCGACGAGGCCAAACTGCAACGAGCTAAACTCCGCTTTGCAGATCTGCGCGGCTCGGGGCTTTGCTTCATGGATGTCACCAGATACAGCCACCTGGCCTGCAGAGCTTTGGAGAGCGCACGTTTAGCTGCGATCGGTGAGCTTGATGCGAGGCAATGTACGGAGAGACAGGGAGCAAGTACTGTTGGACGCAGCACTGCCACTGACGTAACGAGCTGTTCATTGGCTTGTGTGTTTGTCTGTTCTGTTAATGACTTGTCGATAGCACCCGGACGAAATGGGCCTTGGGCTGAAACACAGGCCTGGGTCCTGTTCGGCACAAAGATATTCAATGTTTCACTCGTAGATGTCTTAGTTGTACAGAGAGTGAGCCTGTTGGAAAGCAAGACCTGCCAGTATGTGGGCAGCATGGGCATGTTGAGCGAGCAGCACCGGGGTATTCTGAGCTGTTACCGGCGAGGAAACGCTTTCATTTGTTGGGGCGCGCTGTGGTACCTTCAAACACTGTATCTGTAGCAGTCCGTGGTGCGTAGGGCGAGCATCAGGGGTATGTAACGCTTATGTTCCCATCTACACCCATTGAATTCGAATTTCCGTCAGAGTTTTTGTGATGTTTGGAACCACCCCGGGTCAGAGATAAGTGTGGCCATAGACTTGCATACCATGCAGGACGGGAACACTGACCAGCTGAATCGACGAGTGGCAGTCTGAGAAGACTTCGGCTGCGATCACACGCACGCAGGCACACACTCACCATTGTGCACATCAGGCGTGTGCCGCTGCACAAGTCTGCCGACAAAGACAAGCACAAGGGTTTGTGTGCGCGGGGACACAAATCCGAACTTTGAGGTCATCGTTGATGGCGAGGAAGGCCTCGAGCATTGGCAGGGCGTCGGAGTAATCGATGGAGTTGATGTGCTGGGGGCAGTGACTGCAATCCTCTTGCAAGAAAAAAGCTAGTGCCCCTCTCTTCAGGCATGTGGGTTCTGGAGGGGGACGAGGTGGTGGCAGTCAATGGAGAGACCGTTGAAGGAAAGAGCCTGGACGAGGCCAGGGGAGAACCAGCTCTGCATTTATGACGAAGTCGACAGTGTGCACTCTTTCGTTTTTGCCGTCCCGCACGGGCTGTTCCTGGATCTTGTGCAGCAAGAGGTTGGACCTCTCGTCAAGAACTCCGAAGGCCAGAATGAGACAGTGTTTACATTGGTCTTTCGTTTTTTCAGGTTTTGCAGTACGTGGTACCTGCTCGAATCCCTATGTGAGGGCAGCTGCATGCATGTCCCTTCTTGACTTGTTGGCTTTCGACGGGAGCTTTGAACTGTGCTGCTCCGCCCCCGCCATCAAGCTTGCAGATTCTGCGGGAACAAACTGCCCACTGTGGATGGTTAAACGAGTGTCAGTGTCGTCAAACACGAAGGTGACCACACAGTATGTGATCAACCATGATTAGGTCTGGTTGACTTCCTGGAGTGCAGTTTATTTTCAGTGGAATGCATATAACATGAGCTCGAGACCAACATCACACTCATCACTATAATCGGCCTCGGGCATGCTATACTTCTGACCCAAGCTTACGCGCAAGTATTTAATTTATTGGAGAATTGAGCTGGCAAAATCGGTGCACATTGATCGAATTCGGGAGCTGTGCTGTGCCTGGTGCCTACGTCAACGGCACAACAGTACAACATGGATGCGCAAAGCGCTGCTAGGTCAAAGCTTAGTTACCTTGATTGCTCCTTTTGTCCCTGCGTGCCATGCGCAGCAATCAGATCCGTGCAGCTGGGGGCACTTTGCTGAAGCCAACTCGGTCCGGGCGTGCCTCGTCGGAATTCCGGTTAAGTTTGAGCAAACTTCTGCAAGCTTCTCTCCTGTCTGCCATTCGGACGAGGCCCAGATGCACGGGAGGACGAAGGCGGCCCTTTAAGAAGCACGACCGTCGAGGGCCTGGAGCAAGAGGTGCGGCACATGTAGGCTGCGCGAAGTGAAGACGGAAAGTTGACAGGTAGATGCACTTCGGAGAGCCCTGGAAGCAGAGCAGAGCGAGATCGCATCCATGCGCTCTGGAAGCAAAAGCTTATAGATGCAAGCCTGCTGATGAGGTCTCATAGGATTGCTTGCCTTCCCAGATTCGACCTGAAGCGTGCATGACGGTCTCACATCGATGCCACGAGGTCTGCGACGTTTGGGGAGCTCTTCATGCGCAACAGCTGTGAGGAGAAATGCGGCGAACGATTCAGCATGCCTCTGCATCATCCCATCGAGATTCGTAATTCAGGAGTACTTGCTACAGCTGGAGAGACGAATCCAGGCATGTGGGCACCCTGCTCTGGCGACATAAGACATGCCGTTCCGAAAAGCCGCTGGTTCTTCGAGTTAGTCAGGCATGGTCACCAGCTATACCCAGCCGCGTGATTTGTGAAGGTGATCGAGAACAGGAACGTGGAGATTGTTCACTGGAGGCAGCATTTGCACGGCTGATCGCACGTAGCCACAGGTTTCTGGCTTCAAGCAGGATTGAAAATGCCGAAGATGTACGCTCGCGCTTTCAGAAGGCACGGCTTGTCGGCTGTGGGAGATGGGAGCCAGAAAACGCCTGGTTCCTGCCAGGGCGAATACCTCGCGTCGCCGGAATTTTCAGCTTGTGGTCTCGGAGGTTTCTGCTTCCACTTCTACCCTCGAGGCCGCAGCCACGTCATGCCACAAGTAGCAAATTTGCATATCAATCCTTCCAGGAGATGATTTTTGCGAAGCTTCTTGGATGCGTGTAGGCTAGACTCCCGGCAGCTGCTGCATGCAAGCAGATCTTGCTCAGGAAGGCTACTGTTCTGTCTACTTCCATTTGCCACAGGACACGAAGGCTCCAAGCGTGCACATGAGTACGCACACAGTGATACAGTGCAAGTCGGGATGACGGGCTGCCAGGTGAGACGCACCTTGTTCGTTGGGCGACAGCGGCACGGTCCTGTGGAAGCAGAGTCTTTAACCAACATCGGTGTTTCCGAAATGTGCGCAACTTGTTTGCAATGGCTATCCGAGTGTCCGGCTAGTGATCCATGTTCTGCATAGCCGCGGGAACGCACACATCAACCCGACATGATTGCATCCGTCCTTGCAGGCTGGTAGAGCCCCCGCAAAAAAATCCTGAAGATTGCGATTGCCTGCGCAGCCAGGTGCTTTCAAATCAAATCGACAAAGAGACCGGCAGTGTTGTGATAGGCGCGGCCCGACTTGCAAGATTGTGCAAGATCCTAAGCTGCGGCCCTTGGAATATGTTTGTTCTTGTATTTGGAGGTTGCAGCCAGGTTTCCTTGGAATGTCGGGGGTCGGCACTACTTTTTCTGAGGTCCAGGTGGTTGATTTTGAGACTGAGAGGTAATCAAGAAGTGAGTAGCTACGCCGCAGAAGAAGAGATAAACAAGAGAGATGAGCGTCAGGAAGGGTTTCACGGGCACAGGTGTTGAAGACCTGCAAGTGCTGAGCTCTCCGCATCTTGTTGAGACGAGGACTGCTTGGAGAGACACACCTGTTGTGCACAACTGAGCACAACCATTTCAATGAGCACTTTATGCATGCCGGAACCTGGAAGGACCAAACTTCATCTCGTTTCCTGACTTGATCTGGCGACTCTATCTATTTGCCTTCCAGAGAAAAACGTGGACTAGTTAGACAGCGGTGCTTCAAGGCATCCTTGCAGCAGCCATCCGATTGTAGACGGACTAAGCAAGGTGAATGAACAACGTTTGCTTTGAGTTTGACTGGCCCAAAACGGGCCGGAGGCATGCGAGAAAAGGCCAGTTGCATCAGCTGCTTTGAGCACCACATTTTGCGAAAGTGCCTTATTCGGTGGCTGGGGCAAGGTGACAGTGTCACGCTGACTCTTTGTAGACGGCCCAGCTTCGGCAGAACCCATGATGAATTGTGCCTTTTACGGCTTTCACATAGTCCCTGTTGGCCAAGGCCGGCATTACATGGCAGGTTGCTGGAAAGCAATTATGGCCAATGATGTCGTTGACCTGCCAGAAGTATGTCTCAGTCACGACAATCGAATGAATACCGTGCCCTTTCGCTAAGGTCCAGCACCTTGGCCGATCTGGCAGCATCGGTTAACCAAACAGTCGAAGCATTGTTGCGCAGTGAAGTGGCACAAGCTAAAGCAGCCGGCAAGTCCTGCATCGAAGCCTTTCAGCAGTCTGAGTGGTTCGTTGCCCAACCTGTTTCTAGAGGCCCCACTTTTGAGCAAGCAGGTGAAGGTTGTGTTTCTGCCGAGCGGTAAAGTGGCCACCATGAAGCGAGGTCCGTGCCTTAGGCCATCTGCATATTCCTCCGCAGCTCGGGGTAAAAGTTCTATGAGGCATTGAGATCTTGAAGGCCGCTGAGGTGGGTGTCGAGGACATATCTGTCTCCATCTAACGCTGTCCAGAGCCAATGTTAGAGTCAGCTGGCTGATGCTGCTGAGCAGGATGTCTCCTTTTCCTGCAAAGAAGGGTGGTGCCATGCCTGCGTCTCGCCGGCACTCTAATGTCTGTCGAATCGCGGACGCAGAAACATCACAATGTTGAGCAGTGCTTGATCCTCCTGGGTTTGCTCCTTTTGCACTTGTCCCGCAGAGGTTGGCACACGGATCCGATGCACCTCGGCTTCCTCTAAACAGCACCTCTCACGTCAAGCTACCAAAAAAAACATGTTTATCCAAGATGCTGGCCCACTGAGTCGACTTGGTAAGCACGTGTGTGCCGAGGTTTGGGACAGTCTACAGAGCATGCAGTGCTATCAGCCGCAAGCGACCACCGCCAAAAAACCCACGCAGAATCCCTGAGAAATGGCACCTCAGCTGCAGACCAAAACCGTTGTAGCCATGTCTATGAGCAACCTAAGTCATGGTTTGGGGGATTTTTGCAGATTGTGTCCCATTTGGCTCAGGAATAATGTGGTCCCCCTGTGGCTCTTGAACTGGCGCGTGCTGACCTTGGCTCTCGGAGGGTCTTAAAGCAGAGACATGTCAGCCTTGCGCCGAGGAGTCACAGAGGTGGGCAAAGTTCAAGAAGCAGAAGCGTGAGAAAGAGCACCGCAGCTGTTTGGAAGAGGGCAAAGTCCGCAATGAGTGTGCGTTCTGGCACTGAGGAAGCAGGAGCGGTTGGCAAAGCGAGCAGCCGAACGAGAAGCAGCAACTGCGTGAATTCTTCAGAACACTCGGTTCTCAGCTGTTTGGAAGATGCCGGCCTTGCCATCGCAAAGCGATGATCTAAAGCTTTCGGCATCTCATCCCGTGCCCTCACTGCCTTTCCGGAGCACTGAGCTGCTCCTGCTGTGATCTTGTTCTCGATGCACGATGATTTGTTTATCCTTACTCTCAATGCATCGCCTGTTCTGTTGTGACACGTATCAGCTTGGCCACGTGGAGACCATACTAGGGGCTCTTTACTTCCGGAGGAGCAGCAGGCCCGAGCAGCAACATGCTACGTCAGAGCCTGCTGCTGTTGCCGATGAGATTTGAAGCCAAATTTTCGAGCCCGCGGCGCTGGTCTTGGCAGTGTCCCGTTGTAGCGAGGATTGTCAGTTCCTGATGACCGCAGCGATACCATTTTTCGTGGCAGTTCCGGTGAAACACAATCACGCTTCGGTTGTTGCTACAGGTCGCGGCAGCTGCGGCCCCATTTGCAACTGAACACGTTGTCGGCTTCACTTGGGCACTGGCTGTCGATCAACCCATGCTCCATATCCAAGCTGCAGATTTGACTAGCACTGACTAGCAAGTGTAAGGCAGTGTAACACTGTAACCCTCCATGGTCGATGACAATCCCGTGACACATAAATGGATCTGTGTAGCTTTGCTTTACTTGCTCCTGATCTCATGCGAACACTTGTTGTCTACACCCCACTGAAGCCTGCGATTATGCAACGAAGACTGGAACACCCATGGAACTGCAGGCCAACAGGTAAGACTCTAGGGTACAAACGGGGTCTTTGCATGGCTCCAAGATGCTTTAGCAAAGCAACTGGCTCTGCCTGGTACCAAGCCTAGTGTTCAGCTATTCGCTGGTCCTGCTTCATCGTTCTTGAACACTGATCTACTTAACCAATGTGCTGGGTTTCAGGCCTCGACATGCCAAATGGCCAGTTCTCTTGGGCCCAAGCCGCGAAGGCCACGGCAGCCTCGTCTTTGATAACCACCGTCGCTTCTTTTGCATTACATCGAAATCTGAAGGACTGAGCATGGCAGCGTTTGAAATTTTTGAACAGAGTTGTAGTCTTGTTGCCAGGCATGGAAGTCACAGCCCGTTGACTGGCGACCGGTCAGCCTCCCCGCTTGTGTACGGCCTGCGATGAGACTTGCATAGGAAGTTGTGCTGCAGTCCGACTGCGGCATGGCGGATTCGCAAGCCTCTTGTTTGTGCGCACACTATGGATCGACACTTCCAGGCCAGTGAGATCCTCAGCACTGATGCAGAGCCAGACGAGCCCCTGACCACAGAGGCCGAGGGCACAGCTGTTCCACGAATGACGTTGACTGCGTGCAAAGCACATCTAGCCCCCTCTTTCAAAACTGGGTTACAGACACCCTCAAAGCATGAAAAGCTCAGAATGCCGAGCTTGTTTTAGTTAGGGGATAGCTTTGCCCGTTTTCGGGTGTTACATCACCGTGAACATCTATAGCCCAATAAATCACAATTACTAGCTCATTATCTATAAAATACTCTATCTCATCCTATTTATCAGGTGATGTAACTCCCGAAATGGGCAAGGTTAGGTTTATTCAATTTATGTAGAATAGTATGGGGTAGGGGGTTTCAATAAATTTATGATTAAATTATCATTGGTCAATAATGATGAACTTTAACCATTCTATTAAATCATAGAAGACATGTCTTTTATTTAGGTATGTAATAATAATTGAAAATATTCTCAAATAGTGATATAAAAAATCATGTAATTCAATAATGTCACGCTCATCATGAAATCTTGTATTGTAATACTGTATTAATAACTGTCTCAACTCTTTCACCTTAACTTTATTAAAATAATGATTATACACTTCCTCAAATTTATAATGTATTTCTAGAGTATATAATTGACCATACGAAGCATGAAAAGAAGCATTATATTCTGTTAATTCATTTTTTAAAACATTGCAGTAAACAGTTGGAATACAAAAGTTAGTATTAAAACGTTGAATGACATTGATTATTATATCACAGTGTTCAGGGTAATCATTATTACCG